TTTTCTGTTTTTTTTTTTTTTTTGGGGGGAAAAAAGAAGGTTTTGGGGGGAAAGGGGTGGTTTTTGGCCGATGGCCCCCCCCCCCCCCCCTTGAAACATGTATCATTGGATAGAGCACAACATTCTGCATCTAACACAAGTGCTTAGAGAGTTAACACAGGTAAATAAGCGAATCGGGACAAAAAATACTCGAATCTGGTGCTAACTTTACTTACGTGTCTCAGATCATCGATCCAATAACATGCTGACTACCTTGTGAAATACACTAGTCCTCGTGACTAGTAGATTGTTAGTCAGTGTGTAATAGTAGTTCAAATAATTGAGCGAGTAAACTCTAAGTTTGAGGTTAGCCTTCTGTTCAGAGATACAGTTGGTCATAATTGTAAGAAAAATATTGAACTTACGAGACTATCCTTCATTTGAGCGGTACTCTATCCCACAAGAGAGCCGAAAGGCAGTACAGGCGGTACCAGAATTTTTGGTCCGGGTGGGGCTCAGCCATCCTCTACGCCCTGTGGCGCCACCACTAAAAGATAGAGGTATTCTTTCTTCCATAAAGCATGGATTTGGAAAGTTTGACTCATTGACATTTCGCACGTGCGTGCGTGCGCTTCTATATTTTTATGAATCAGAACATCGATTAAATTTGTTTTCTAATTTTTTCCAAAATTATCATGATCTTTCAATCATTTTTCATAACGACAACTATAAAAAAAAAGTATTCAATTTTTTAAAATAAAATGTAATATAAAATCAGAAAATATTCTAACAAAACAGTGAACATATGAAAGTCATACATTCTTTACACGAAACCTTCAATATTTGTAGCAGCGATTATTCATTTGTTGGATCATTGCCCACAAAATCTTTTGTGTCTTGTTTTTTAGATTTTCATGTATGAAAGAATAGAGAAAAAAAGTTCGCTTTTAAACGTCTGACAAAGTTTAATGGCAATATATTTATTTTTTAAATTGAATGTATAGACAGAAAAAAAATTCATATAATGTATAGCAAAAAAACGGGAGAATTTACACTCAATCAAAAAACAAGAACAAGACAAAAGAAAAAGTTCATACGTCAAGGATACTCGTCTTAGAAAAAAATTTTAATTACCTATCAGATAAACAAAGAAAAGATATACTAGAATTAACTTTCAAGTTTGAAGTTTACTCTGCATTTATGCAAATGTATTTAAGGAGATTCATTGATGCAGAACTTAAAAAAAAATACTCGTTTTTCAAAAATGAAAATACGATTAATATACAATGGACATGAAAAACAGAAAAGAGTTCGATTAATATAATTATACAGCAGTTGAAAAATTCTTTTGATCATCATTTTGACCATCACTAGCGAAACCATCACTTTCACCATATTTGACCAAATACGTACGTCGCTTATCATCATCAAATTCTCCCATTGAAAGATCACTTGGTCTAAACGAAAAAAATGTTTTTTTTTAATTTATAAAATAAATCAATTTTAAATATACGCTCGATTATAGTCAGCAAATTTGCTATCATCATCCTCATGTACGATATCTTTTTCCAATGCTAAAGGAAAAATAATCATTAAATTATTTAAAACTAAAAAAGAGCAATGAATAATCTCAATATTTACCTGAATATTTTCCACCTTTACGTGTCATAAGAACACAAACAGCAATAAGAACAATCAGTAAAATAATTAATGCAACGAGAAGACCAATAAACCAAGGTGCATCAGTATCTCGTGGACGACGATCTAAATAATATTCATTGAAAACAGTTTTATTAGAATTATTCTAAACACACCTTTGCCAGCTGTTGTAACCAACTGAGAATCACTTTTTGTTTCAGCTCGTATACCATCACCAGCAACTAATATTGTTATATATGTTTTACCTGGTTCCAGTGGACTAACAATAATAGTACGATCATTTGATACAACATATGTTCGCTTGAATATAGATTCACCATCTAAAAATCCATAATTTATATGATTAATTATATCGAGGGAAGTATCCGAGCTGATACACGCCATTTCAGCTCATATTGGGTGCACAAGGAAGTTTCAGCGAATATCTAAAGCTAGATCGAAAACTCAGTAAAATGATCATGGCTCCACTCCAGAGGTCTACGGGTACGAACACTTGTAAGATTTCTCTGATCATACCCAGACTTCCTTGTGAATCCAATGTGACCTCAAACAACAGGAATCAGTTTGGATAGTTTTATTCTAAAATATTTGCTTCATACAAACCTCTTTCATTTTCTTTATATTGTACATAATAAAGACTACCAGGAATAGGCATTATAGTCGGATCAAATGAAACATTAAAGAATGTTGTTCCTACATATGTAACAATAAATTTTGGTTTTGAAGGTACTTAAAAAAAAACAAGAAATCACGATTAAATGTTTTAGTTTTTGTAATTAAATTTTTACCAAGACTGTAATTTGTTGTAAGTTCAATCATAGCTGGACTTGTTGAAAGACCAGCTATAGTACGTGCTCGTACTTGAACACGATATTTCGTATTTGGTTTAAGTCCACCAACAAGATAACTTCTTTGATTAGGATCTTGAATTACTATTGATGGTTGATCAAGACCTGGTTGAGCAACAATACTAAATAGAAATCAGATAAATATTTATTTATCTGTTAACATAATAAATACCTTTCAATGGTTCTATAATCAATTTGATAACCAATTATAAAACCATTTGGTTCATCGGGTGGATCCCAAAAAAGTAAAATTCCATTACCAGCAAATGGTACGCCACGGAAATTAGTAACTGGACCAGGACGACCTTCTCTTGTTTGAAATTGGATCTAGAAAAAATAAATCAATTTTCACATTGTTTTGTGAAATACCATCTAAAAAGAGTGTTGAAGTATATACGGTAGAAATCGAGACTCAATTCCTCCTTACCGCAGACTGTACAAGACGTTGTTGATTTACGATCACAAACCGTATATATCAATAACGTCACATTCTAATATATGAATTATTTCTTTATTGCATTTCTGATAGATTACGTTGGAAGATGATGAAGATATGATTAGGAAGAGGAGCAGCTGGATCATGTTTCGCATTTTAATCTCATAAGGATTGCACTAATAGATTTTTATTTTATAAGTTAATACATACCACAAGACTTGTTGGTCCTAAATAACGTTCAGTTTCAATACGAATTCTAGCACCAATATCACCATTTGATGGAGCGTTAAAGAGTGTTACCCAAGTCTGGCTCGGTGAAATACTCGGTGCCACACGTAGAGAATTTTCTGGATCATCGAGTCGAAACATTTCAATCTACACACATACATACACATGCATAACATGCAAAAGGAAAATTAAAAAAACAACTTGATAAGCTTTAAGAAAGCCTCGAATGTTAACTTCATCAATAGCCAATGGAGGTTCCCATGCAAATTGTACTGTTGTAGCATCCACTACTTGCATTACATGAAAATTACGTGGGATATATGTTGGTGCTAGAATACATACACAAGCGCATGCATAAAATATTTTGAAGAAAAATAGACAAAAATTTCTTGAAGTTTTATTATTAATCCGAAAGTGAAGAAAGGGTATTTGTTGGACAAGATGTTTTTCGTCGACTACAACGACGATTAGGATGATGTTTACGTTGTAGTAACATTGTTCGCATTGTCGTAGATTTTTGTGACGATGTTATATATCGCCATGATGAAGATAAAGAAGTAAAAGAAATAGTTTCATAATTACCCGAATCACCAGCAAATGCAAAATAAAAGATTATAGGGTCATTTGCATCAGCACCATTAATTTCTTAATAAAAAAAAGAAGAAATTTAAAATAAGAGACAGATATTTCTGATAAATTAATCTTAAATAATCATAGACCTGATCTCCAATCACGATATATTATCTCCTCATTATTAATTTTGTCAAATTATCTCAAGAGGACCTTCCTATTCAAATGTTAAAATCAAATTTTTTTTTCGATTTTTGATATAGTTTCGAAGAGTCCTCTGTCAAATGCTATATAAATAACAGCTCTTCGTTTTTTAGCTAGTATTTTTTATTAAACTCAACTCTCCAAGTTCTTAGCAGAAAAATTCGTACTACGATTATTCTTTGTGTACAAAATTCTCCAAATGATAATGACTATTTTTCATACCAAAGATGCTGAGAGCATGGCCAATTGTGGATTACTTTAGTTGGAAAAAAAAGTTCAAATACATACAAGATTGGGCGCAAATTTTTTGTATGAGTACTTCAATCAAATTCAGGTCCATGCTTTTTTCAAAATGTTGCTTGCATGAAATTCGGTAGCCTTTCGAAAATCAGTACTATTAGAAAAAAACACGCTTTTTGACGGTGCTTCCAGTATTTTGCTTCTCCTGAGCTCTAGAAACGATATTTTTGAAAGGAAGAAAACGCGCACGTCTATTTGATTCTAGTTATTATAAAAAAATTGCAGCTCGAAAAAAATGAAGCATAGTATTGTGAGGACAGCTTTGGCCAGTCTTGACTTTTGTAAGTCTCATATCTTCCTGAAGAAAGCATCTGGGAGTTTCGAGTCTATGACAACCTTTGCTCTACTTTTTCGTTGACTCGTTCCAGAGAAACCCCGGGGAAGAGGGAAGTCTCCTGGAATCTTGTCGTAGAAAGAGAGGATGAAATAATGAAAAAATAGAGTCAATAATCAATAAAAATTCTTAGATATCTTATACAATCTCATTTGTTCATCATAATCATTCTTCCAATTTTGATGCAAAGAGAGAGAGAGAGAGAGAGAAGCTGTATTCAAATCATTATATCTTATTTCTATTTAAATATCGAGTTTAGATGTACCTCCTGGTTGTTGATTAACCGCTTTAACATAATATTGATAACGCATATTAAGAACTGGATTCGGTATAGCAAATCGATTTTGTGGTGGATAAACACGTTGGGTCATAAATGGTTCTGGATTAAGACCTGGAGCAAATGGACGCCAACCAACTTCATACCAAAATTTTGGTGCATTCCATTTTATTGGAGGCATACTCTAGTAATTTAAATAATAACAAATTCAAACGAATGAAACAAAACAAAATTTCTCTTCCTTACATCCCATTCAATAAGTAATGGTACAAATTGCGTTGTATATGCTTTCACACCAACAGGATTTGATCTTGGTCGACATGTTGTTGTTGAACACATGGACTCTGATATTGCACTTGGATCACTAGCACCAATACGATTATAGGCAATAACACGAAATGTATAATTAGCCCAACATGATAATGTTACACGTAAATCATATTGATTTGATGGAAGACGTGTTGTTCGATAAACTAAAATAAATATTTTTTTAGCTTTGTGTTATTTTTTCTAAAAATCAATTACTTCTGGCATCTGGTTCTAATTTAATTGAGCCATCTTGTGATTTAATTTCTTTATAAGTTTCTTGACGTCGTTCAACTGGTACAGATATCCAATCATTTTGCTGGAATGACGTATTATATTGTATTTCATAATAAAGTATTCGTGCATTATTATCACCTGAATTAAAATTAATTTTCTTTTTTTTGTTGCAAAAGAAGATGGGTTGTTAAGCAATGAAATTTACTCTTTCACAAAATTGAGTTTATTATTTTTTCAAGAGTCAATTCAGATGTCCGGAGTCGATTACCGTTAGACTTCGTTCGATCTTTGCACGACCGATTCAAAACTCAACATTCTCGATCTTCTAGTGTTATGTGGTGCAATGTTTACATACAAAGTTTGTTTTCCTTCTTCATCTTCTTTAATGTCACTTATAATTCAAATGAAAGTTCTTTCTTTTCTCTGTCAAATGACACATGAGTATGACAAAATAATGCTCGTTCCTTTTTTCTTTGTGATGATACCGTTCATTCGTATATACAGTATGAGGATAGTCATAGTTATAGCTCTCTACGATTGAGCTGTAAAAGCATCAGCCCACTTTGAATTGTAAAATACTCAATAGGCTTTTCAGGATTCTACAACATCATACTATTGCATTGAGCTTAATTTGTGGGAAAGACATATTACTTAAACACACAATGCTCATGAATGCCAAAACAACGGTGCTCTTTTTTACTGATATTGGTCACAATAATCAGGCTTCTTATCAAAACAAGTGATTTATTCGGAATCAGCATAAAAAACTGAGTCGATCTGTATGTATTGCGAAATCCTCTGACAAGGTTTACTTTCGTCAACAGCTTTCAGCCGTATTTCCCTTCACGGATATGTCGAAAAAATCAAATCTGTCAAAACATCGATTTGATTATTTATTTATCTGCCGTTTTGGATTTTTCAAGACTTTTAAAAATTTAGAAGTGACTTGATTTTTTGACATAATCTTGACGTAGACCAAGGGGTTGAATTTTTGAAGAAAAATGAAAAATGATGAATCATTTTGTGACATATAGATGGACTCTACTTTTGATGCCGAGTTCAAATATCAGTCAAAAAGAGTAAATTTTTGCGCTGTCGAACATCATGTGGTTGAATGAAATGTCTCACCCATAAATTAAGCCCAGTACAATAGTAGAATTTTATGAACTTCCAAAAAGACTATTGAATAGTATGTAATTCAGATTGAATCGTTACTTTCATAGCATCAATGAAACGGGAATTCTTTTATGAATACCCTCAGACTATGTATAAGTTAGTGAAACGTATCACTAAAAGAAAAAAGAGAAAGAATAATATTTTGTCAGACTCCTATATAGCGTTTGATAGCGAAAAGAACGATCTTTTATTTAGTTCATATATCAGCTTAAAAAAGACTAAAAACAGAAGAAAAATTTTCTATATAAAAATTGCATATCATGATCGTATCAAAGATAGATAATTTTTTAGTTTTAATTCAATTTTTTTGTCATTGAAATGACGACTCATTGACTAATTTGAATAACAATCGACTCTTGCCATCCGTGTTGACTATTTGGAGAATAGAAAACTCAATTTCGAGAAAGAAGAGCCAATTTCATCTCTTATCAAACTTCCTGCTTTCTATAAAATAATAACCTGTTGCTTCCCATTGAACAATAGCAAATGGTTGTCCAAATGCATTTTGTGCAGAACCACTACAATTAACTTTTGTTATTCTTGGTCTATTGGGTCGATCTTGTACAACTAATGTTGCACTTGCTTCATCAAAATCAAGTTCTGTACTTGCACGACATACATACGAACCACCATCATCAAATTGTACATCAACAATTTTTAATGTATTTTGATCAGCAATATCTTTTATAAAACGACCTAAACAAAAGAAAAAAAAAATTCGAATAGATAAAAACAAAATAAATTATATTGACCTGTATAAGCAAGTAAACGTCCATCTTTATACCAATCAATATCATATGTTAATGATGTATCGGCAACAGCTGTACAACGAAATATAGCATAATAACCACGACGTACTTCTTGATTTCCTGGATGAGTTTGTATACGAGTTTTTCGTTTAACATTTAATGTTCCACTACGTACGTCCGAACCGAATTTATTTGTTGCATTACATACATATGTACCACTATCCGCTGCTGATGCTTCACGTATCATTAAACTTCCATCTGCTAATATCGTATACCTAATAATTTTTCAAAATAGAAAAATAAACTTATTTAATAAGAATCAATCATGGACACTCATACGAAGCACACATGCTGTAAACAAGATAAAACAATACTTCTTTTTTATATACTCATGCTGTTATAAATACATATCAAAGCATAGTTTTCTTTGTTTTCATACCGGTTTATAGGCTAGGTAAGATATATATATACATATTTATACACGCATTGATAAATATTTTAAGAGATAAGGAAGAACAGAAGAAAATCTATGATTTACCTTCCACCAGTTATAACTTGATCACGTTTACTCCAATAAACTTTTGGCATTGGAGCACCAAATGTTTCACATGGCAGAAGAACATTTTGCCCTTCAACAGCTCGATATAATGGATCTGGACCACGTTGAATTTCTGGTTTTTCCGCTAGAAAATAGAAAATTTCGAATCTTTACGATATAATTTATATGTCCGGAAGAAAATTCAATTTCATTGGTCAACAATCAGAGCTAATTTTTACGACTATTAACTGAACACATTTCATGAACGATTTATTAGACTAAACTTGAAAAAATACTATTTCGAATGATTTTGAAGTTTTGCCATAATTAGTTGCTGATAAAGATCTGAAAATCTCAGTGCTTGAAATGTGCTTTCTGGTGAAGGCTTGTTCCCAACTGTCCAATTGCTTTCGCTTGAGACTACTTCCATTCCATCGATTACGATAAGTAGTAAAAAAAGGTCTGTTTTGCTTTGATTTTGTGATCTTTGCTTATTAAGTTATGGGCGTTTTACTTGATTTTTAACATATGGATATATAGAACCACTGAGAACCTGGATGATCATATTTCGAGTTGAGACTTTCTCCACAGATAAGACTTATAGTCAGTAGAAATACCTCAATTTTTAAAATAGAATAAAGCAGCCGTGACTTAACAACATTGATATCTCCTGGAATTTTCTCATATAACTTTTTTCGATAGAACCTTTGACACGAAGTTGCTTCTTTCAATTTTTTGAAATAGTTTTCCTTAGTACAACCAATTTGAAAAAATACTTGACTTTATATAATTATACGAAAGAAAAAAACACAAAGACGCTCAAAAATATTCAGAAAAATAAAATAGTAGTGTGACCATGGACTTTAAAAACGAATTCTAATTGTTGATGAATAATAAACATAATTTTTTTGTTTCTCTTACCATAAGGTCTAAACATTATTGGAAAACTGCCATATCGCTTTCCTTATCTTTTTCACGGTCACTATTTGTTTTCTAAGGTCAACGATAATATTGCATAGCAGTGTTTTTTTTTGACATTTTTCTTATGAATATTGCTTTATCAATAATAAAAGAATTGAGTTTTTAGCCGCTTTAAACTATGATTTGAGAGTTGGATATACAACGTATGATCAATCAACAAAATTTACACCCACCCCTTTTATTACTAATGTCAAAATTAAAATAAAAGACGAGTGTGAAATAGCTCGGGTATTTTAATAGTTAAGGATCCATAGTTTTCAACAATTGAAAGAGAAAACACCTGGACATCTTTTTCATCTCATTGCATAAGATAAAGTCATTTTTAGAAAATTGATAAAAATATTGTATCGCTTCGATGAAATCTGAATAACAGGTAAGAAATCAAGAAGATACTATTTCTTCAACATGTGGATGTGACAAGATAATCATTCGAGTCGTGTCATGAACTACAGATCCCAAATCTCTCTATCTAAGACAGATGTCTATGATTGCATCATTAATTGTTATCATTTTCAAAATATTCATCTTAATCTCGCTCTTCTTTTATTCACTTTACTCCTGAAAAAGATATTTCAGAATAAATAATTAGATAGTCGCATAAAAGAGGATAATTAAAGTAGCTTACAACTAAAAATTAACTAGTCAATATATTCCTATCTAAATTTAAAGAATAGATATTATGAAAAAACTGTTAGCGCAATCACTGCAGGATTAAAATGTAAAACACAATGTAGTTGTTGTTGGTATTCACCCGGAGATTATTTTATTCTGTCTATACTGTGACACATGTCTTTACTCTTCGTTTACTAATCCTCTAGAAATATGATAAGGAAGAAGTAACAAGCTGTTATTGATATAGGGTCTGTAAGAGGAGTTCCTGAATTTTGATGCCAATTTCTACCCTATATACTTCAACATTCCTTTTACATTATGGTTTTAAAAAACAATATTCTCTTTAAAGTATATATATATCCTATGTTTTGAAATTTGTTTTGCAAAAAAAAGAATTCTCTTGCGTTTGAGAATAACCCGTAAAATCTATTACTTACAAATAACATTAACAAAAAAGTTTGAAAAAACATAACCATGAATATTTGTAACGTTACATTGATAAACAGCCGTATCTAATTTTGTAACATTTTGTAGGATCATTCGATTTTTAATAACACGTCGACGTGGGTTACGTGGTAGAGTTGGATCTTGTAATGGGATACCATTAACAAACCATTGAATATTATTTGGTGGTGGTTTAGATTCTGCATCACAAATAAAATCAACTGTTTCACCTTCTGTTACATGAACATCTTTTGGTTTTACTATCCAATATGGATCAGCTTCAATTCGAACATTAATACTAAATAAATCATTACCCAATTCTAAAAAAAAAAGTCAAGTAAAAACAAAAGAAAACATAAATTAAACTTATTTTATACCATTATGTCCTCGACATTCATATAATCCTGCATCTTCAAATTCAAGATCACTAATAATCAATTCTTGTTTTTCCATATTAACAGTTGCACGTCTTTCAGGTATTGTACCATTAATTTTTCTCCATATAACACCAGGTGTTGGCAAACCACCAAAAATACATTTTAATGTTAATTTATAACCTTTTAAAAAAACTTTATTAGCTTCAGATGTCCATAATTTCATTGGCCGACGATTATTTGGATCGGATTTAATTACTTGTATTTGTGTTAATGCTCCACGACGAATAACATTTAATTTACGTGAAAAAACATTACAAATAAATTGTTTTTGTTCGTCTTCATCTTTTATATTTAAAAAATAAAGATTTCCTATAAAATAAAAACAAAAAAATTCAATCAAAAAAAGCAAAATAGTTTTACAATAAATTTAACAAACCATAATAATCTTGTTGAATTCGAGGATTTGATACAAGAAAACCGAATTGATCACCTGCATTTGTATTATCTGTCCAATAAGTTTCTGGATCAGGTACACCAGTTGGTGGTTTACATGGAATTTTTAATGAATCACCACGTCGTACTTGAATTATTTGCGGTTTATCATAAATAGGAAAAGCACCAAGTTCAGCAAGACGTACACGAACTTTACGTGATACAGCAGTACCTAAAAAATAAAGCATTCAAAACGAAAACTCAAATATTCTGATTGAAATTATTTTTTTGTTCTTCTTTACCCCACATATTTGTTGCATTACATTGATACCATCCTTGATCAATAGTTTGTGCTTGAGTAAAAATAAGTGTACCTGAATCACTACCCATAGCAACACGATTATTTTGTGCACTTGGTTCATAAAAACGACCATCTTTTGTCCATGTATAAATTGGAGCTGGATTTCCTTTTCCTATACATGGAAGTTCAATATTAACACGTGGATCAAATATAACTTCAGGATCAGGTTCAGATAATATTGTCGGGGGCATGGGAACTAAACACAAAAAAAACAAAAATAAAATTCAATAGAAAGTATATTCAACTTACTTGAATGTGCAAAAGAAAGTAAAAAAAGGGTATATACAAAATTTAATAAAGTCATAAGTTCAGTTTTTTTCTCTTCTTGCTCTTGAATTATGATATTATAAATGTTTACAATAACATCTGAAAATAAATCCTAGAATTATTTTATTCTTTGTGAACTTTTCATAAATATTATTCAGTGAGTTCAGTATGGTGGAGAGAACAATAATGTCATGTCGTTTAGCATATGTGTTCTTTTTTTTTTTCTTCTTTTTTTTTCTTGCTCGTTGTGTTTCGTTCTTTCCATCCATTTATACCATGAGACGACCGCACGTTCGATTGGTGGTTCGCTTTGTCAAGGTAAAATTGTAGAGAAGAAAAAGAAACAAAAGTTTCTTTTTCTTTTTCTTTGATTAAATCAATTTTTTCTACCTCCATCTTTCTTTTTTAAAAACACATGAAAATCATTTTAAACAAAATCAAGATTTCATTGAGAATGATCTAATTGAAATGAATCATCTCTTTAAAAAAAAATCAATATACAGATATTTCTTTGCTCAAACACTTCGATTGTCTCGACGATGATGAAATATTGAAGGATAATTGAGTATATTCATATTTTGTGCCTTTTTAACAAATGAGTAGTGCCAACAACAGACTAAAGGAGATAAAAATCAAGTCTAAAAAATGATCCAAAGAGAATATGAACTGCTGTCATCCATCATAATAGACAAGCAAAACTATTATGAAAAAAAAGTTTCAAATATAGTTTCATTGACTTTTAACCTTACTTGAACAGAACATGAAATATAGTCAACAATAATAAAAATGATTTATCCCTTAGTTTGTTTCTTATCGAGGAAGAAGAAAAACAAATACCTAATACAATGATATTGTAACATATAACTCACAACTAACAAGTATATCACCACTTGAGCACAAAAAATAATAAAAACGGGCAGAACTTAATTTGTTCTTCATAAAAAAAGGAACAGATGAGTAACTCTGTCTGGGCAGGGCATCGAAAATAAATGACATAACTACCGATTGGCTAGTAACTCATCTTAAATTCTGTATAGGTAAAAATGATGTCGCTATGATATATTTCTAAAAATATTTTTTTGAATAATACAATTGAATATAATGATGATTCTACACGAGCATAGAACTCTTTACAATGAATCTCAATTGGCATCGAATATGTCACACACTAATACTATACAATATTCATCTCAGTTTGGGATTCTAATAAAAAGAGTGTGGTTTTGAGGAACAAGAAGACCCTACCACCCACACGCCACATTCTCGAGTTCATTTTCATTTATTAAAAGAATTCTTTTTTTTTCGTAGATAATAAAGAAAAGCAAATAAAAATGATTTGTATCAATAAACAAGAAAATTACATGATATTTTTATAACATATAATGATGAACCTGTAAATCTACTTGAGCCAATGATAAAGAATGACGAAAAGGAGATCAATAAGAACTTGTTGATGATTATGATAATAATCGCAATCAATAATTATTTTAGTTTTCTTTTTTGTTCTATTCAACAGCACAAATGTTATCAACAAAAATTATTCAAGAAGTTTTGGTCTTTATAAAAGAAGAACTCATATTTATTCGTTGGCTAAACGAATTTGAATTTTCCTAATATCCATTTCAAAAAGAAAAAGTGTGGGCATTTTTGAATAACTTTTAATAGAAACTAGACAGAGAGCTGTGACTTTCGCCGTTTCAGAGAAGAGATGAAACTACATCACATTGTGCATACCAGATTTTTTTTTTGATAAGTTTTATCAGTCTCTGGCCAACTTTTTCTAAAAATCTAGGCTTTGGAATAGGTTTATAAGGAGATTTGGCGTTAAAAAGTGAGAAAAAAAGTCAATTTCTTATGCAAAACTTGTCGATAACATGCAATGAAATGTCCATAACTCATGATTGGGCAAGCCTTACAACATCAGACTTATAATTTTTAGATCTTTAGTTAATGACTCTAGCGCACTTCTGACAATTGATATCGTAAAATTTTTACATTAAACAATGTTTTGCTGTTAGCAAACATAACGGTAGACTATGAGAAATACTTGTCATGAAATTCTGGTGTACATAGATCGATGCAGTTTCACCTCCTCTTTTAGACGGTGAAAACCGTAGCTCTCTATCTAGTTTCTATCACAAATTATTCAAGAAATAGTCACACCTTTCTTTTGTCAAATGGGTATTAGTTTTTTTCTGATTATTTCATATCTCTCTATGTCTACTTTTCTTTTTTTTTTCTTAGTATATTGTAAATAGTAATGTCTGGACGTTGACAGCTAAAACTTTAGCCTAATCACGTAAACGTTCATAAAAAATATGAAGAATTCTGATTATCATTTTTCAGTCCAGGAACAATAAGAACCAAATATTATCTTTGTGAAGAAAGCACATAATTACCTTAAATATATGAAATCCATATGAGCACATTTTATTTGTCAAAAGACGATTTCTCAATCTAGCAGAATGCATCAGACAGTTTGTAAAACGACAGACGATAACGTCATCTTCTTTTAAAGAACCATGTTAGATTGTTTGGAACCCGCTTATTAGTTCAAAAAATTCATTTCTAGATATTTTTCTCGTGAACATGCAAGAAAGTGATCTCATTTTGATGAAATTCTATTCTCACCCTTTAAAAAAAAAATAGAACCCAAATGGGAAATGTTCCATTAGCGAATGAAACTTTTCAGAGAGTCCTCTGATTATATAAAGAAAAATTTTGAATCAAGAAGAATACATTGATGATGACGTGGAGAATGGCGAAGAAAATCCATTTCTATGAATGCAGGTCACTAATCGACATTCTTGAAGTTATTCTTTCGAGGTTTTTCTCTTTCTTAGTTGATCAATGAAATTTACTTTTTATCTTGTTAGTGACAGAAGATTCTTGACGCAACTTCAAGATTAAAAGTCTTGTCAAATCAATTAAGAAAATCAAAAATCTAAGAAGAACTATATACTTACTCCATTACGACCAGAACGTATTACTGCTACAAGCTGTTCAGCAGCTGAACTATACAAGAGATTAAAAGAAGAGTTTCTAGATCGTCTACCATAACCTTTTCAACTTTTTGGCGAATTAGAACGATGGAAAATTGAATGTAATGATCTCGTCAACAAACCAAACTACGTTAATTTATGGATGGACGATTTACTTACCACTTGTGATCCAGTTCTTTTTTCAAAATACAGTTTTTACTCGTTTTTCTTGGTACTCTTCCGGTTACTACCAGTTCGACAGAACGTGCGTTCAGTTCATTAAAACGTATCAAAACTTATTGTCGATCAACAATAATTGAAGACCGATTAAATGGACTTGCAGCTGCATTTATTCATAAAAATATGGAAATCGATGGTAAAGAAAATTCTTGATTTATTCGTACAAAAACATCAGCGACGATCCGATTTTGGTTTATAATTCTTTTCCTTTTGTCCCTATTATTTGCATTTGTTTGTGCTATTTCTGCTCTACTTATCTTATTCGTGATGTTTTTTGGTCTATTCATGTTTTTTTCGATATAAAATACTGAAATATTTGAAAGATAACGATTATATTTGTAGAATAGTATCAAAAAAGCGAACAATCTCGCCTCTTATTTAATAGTGACGAGTTTCCCTTCAGTATACATTGGTTCCGCAATCACAATACGTATCAAAAAAGATTGTAGCTCAATTGGTTTTTAATTGCCCATTGGTGCCCACTCCCCCAAATAATTTAGCTGGGAAATGGCCCATGATTCGAAAATTTCTGGCTACGCCCCTGATGATGAAGATGATAATATATGTCACAACTATTACAGTCAAGCGTTATGTCGTGATCGTCCAGATTTAGCGTTGTGTTATAAAAATAAGGCTCTGTTTTATTTAAACAGAAAATTAGATTATATTGAAGCAGAGAAATAGTTGATAACATAATATCATATATATATAATCAGGCATTACCCAAAGATCATCCTCACTTGATTGAAATGCATAATATAAGACACATGATTTCAAAATTCAAATGGCATACACTACTGGTTATGACGGTTGGCACTGTGAAATTAATTTTATTGTTTCTTTTATTTCGGTTATCTTTCAGTTATCATAGTATTTTGTGAAACACAGTTGTAAAGGAGTGAAAGAACGCAGTTCGAAAAGTGAATCAGCTCATTGTTTGGGTAAGGAAAGATTTATGGATGGGCGCGAGTGTTATCTTCACTCACGTGACCATCCTTGATCAGTAAGCACAACAGAAGACCCTGGTTCGATCAGAAAAAGTATATTTGCCTTTGCGGAGTATTTAGAGGCGACAAAAATCCCGACATGGCATGATTGGGTGTACACGAGAGCCTGGGTATGGCAAGTGCGGTAGAACTAGGTGTAAATAATACTGAAAGACTTGCTTGTATAGTGTTTGTTGTAGTTTTTACCACTTTGCGGAAACCAACTGAAATTATTTTATTGTGTGAGGGTAGTGCTAGAAGTATTAGATCAAACGTTTTTGCATATTATTATATTTACTTGTCGCGTGTTCGTTCTACACACATGGTCATCGTTTTGAAAGGTAGTTGCAGACTTTTTTCTTGTTTGAAACTCGTTCTTTTCGCGGACGAAGATAAGATAACAATTCATAAATTCTTATCTTTTTCTTTGCTAGTTACACGAGTAAGATGCTGAGTAGTTATTTCGTTTTATTTTCTGAATTTACTTGCATCAAATAAAAATCATGTCCTCTATCACTCTTGTGCTGGTTATTCGTTCTCTAACAATTGCCGCTGTCATTTTTGCTAGAATTGCTCATTCTCATGTAAATACTATTGCACGGAATGATCATTTGACGCTCGCCAATGATCACATGATTGATTTTGAGGCAATCGGAGGCATTGCTGGAAACAATTCCTTGTCTACCTGTTGGGCAAACACATTTCTCCTTAATCAAACTCTAGGGTCTCTGCGAAGTGGCGACATTCTACTCATACCAGCGAATCGAACGTTTTGGTTGATGGGTGGTCTCTATGCTCGTGGTCTCTCCTATGTAACTATTCAAATTGATGGTATTCTCAAATTTTCTGATAATATATTTGAATGGCCACGTGATCCTCATACAAATCAAGTTCTTAACTGTTTCTACTTTGAACAATTGGATCATGTAACTTTCACGAGTTCGCAATCTTCACCTAACAAAGGCATCATTGATGGTTCGGGTCATTTTTGGTGGGGTGTGATTGAGTATGTTATCATTCGTGGAAATCGGCCGCAATTATTATGGATCTATAATTCCACTAATCTCTTGCTCGAAAATCTACTCTTAAAAAATTCTCCCAAATGGAATTTTTATGGTCAGGATGTTGCCAACTTAGAAATTCGTTACACTGATATAGATGCGCACAGACATCCAGATATTCACTGGCATGATCTATATGAATTAACTGCTTTTAATACAGATGGATTTGACGTGTCTGGTAAGAACATCTGGATTCATGATTGCAATATTTGGAATGATGATGACTGTATTGCGGTGAAACAACAAGACTCAAATAGTATTCATTCGTTTTGTAGTGAAAATATGCTATTTGAACGTATTAATGCCTCAGGTGTGGGCTTGACAATCGGTTCTATCGGTCCCTCTGAAGCCCATTCATGTGTTCGTAATATTACATTTCGTAATTGCACCATGTATAACACTTTTAAAGGAATTTATTTGAAATCACGTCCAGGACACGAAAAAGATACTGGTGAAATCAGTGATATTCTTTATGAAAATATTCAAATTCACAATGCTTCTCAATGGGCAATTTGGATTGGACCACAACAAGCTGCATTTAAGGGAGCTTGTTCACTTTTATGGCCGTTTATACCAGAAGTTGCCTGTCCTATTCCATCCGGTATTACTTGGAATAACATTGTTTTGCGAAATATCACTCTGAATGATCCTCAACTAAGCCCTGGTGTAATAGTTGGCAACTTATCTAATCCTATGCAGAATGTATTGTTCGATAATGTGCTCGTAAACAATCCTGGCTCCCGTCCATGGGGCGACAAATATTATGCATGCTCTGGTGTAGAAGGAACTGCAAAAGGCAACACACAACCATCACCTCCATGCTTCAAACACGAACCACTTTAGTATGAAACCAACTTAGCATCATCTGCTTTCGAAAATAACACGATAAATCAATGAATAGATTACCCTTAAAAACACGAATGTTTGAAAAATATTGCCATTATTCTTTGAAGATTACTTCACTGAAAGCAGTACACACACGAGGGTCTGTGTTGATGCACTCTTTTGAATTGATATTGATTCTGTATTGACTCCAAAAGTTTTGCACATACAAATTTTAGTATAGTGGTTGCTGCAGTCGATATCGATCATAATTAGTCCAAGGTAAATATTAATTAGAGGATAAACGTGTTCCAAAAAATGTACGCTGCTTTGAAAGAGAATTAGAGTAGATGGCTAATTCGAGTTCGAATATAAATGAAAAATCGAAAAAAAATTGTATCCATCTAACAATAGCAAAAAAGCAAAAGACAAATTTTGTCCAAATTATAAATTTATCATTCGAATTGGGATTTTTATATAAGTCTGGCAGAAAAACAAAAGATAAATTTTATCCTATTTATAAGTTTATAATTTGAATTGAGACATCCATGTAAGTCGATTTATATCAGTATGATTCCACTTTGACTGGAATCCTAGGTGGAGAGTAATACGTGATGTTTGATAGACAGGTTGCTTCAGATGCTCCACCCATCACAAGGGATGTTTGAGGAATTTCCAGGATGCTAGAGGGATAACATGAAATGCTTGAAGCATCACTTGGGTTGCTAGGAGCACTTTCTGCAATGCTTTCTACGTCAATTCAGATGGTAGTAGCATTACCTGGGACGCTACTAAATAAACATGGAATGTATCTGGCATCTCCGGCGATTCCTCAAGTATCCCAACTAACACCTACGGTATCCCATGGACTACCCGTTGCAACTCACGTAATGCTGTCAGTATCCCAGGTGGTGCCTTCGGAATGCCAGGTAGTGCCCGTACCAAGCAAGGTAATGCTAGTAGAATTCCTTGTGATGCCTCTAGCGTCCTGGGTGATGCTAGTAGCATCCGAGGCCAAGCCACTATGAAGGAAGGAAATGCTTCTATGAACCCAGCGGATGGCCGTAGGAACCCAGGAAACGCTACCAGAATCCCAGGCAATGCTACTAGCATACCTGGTGATGTCTCAAGCATCGCAGTTAATGTGCCTGTGCATCATCACATATTACTCTCGACCTAGGTTTTCAATCGAAGAGAGTCTTGCTACTATAAATGAGAAAACATGGACTGATTTGATTGGTAAAATGTGGATGTGTACGTGAGCTTCAAATTTTGGGTTTACCTGTGGAGCTAACTTGTTATGATGGCGTTGGTGCAGGAAAACATGAAAAAATGAAACTGCTAGTGGAATTAGTGGTGAAATTACTATTCCGAAGCTCGCATCACTGTGTACACAGAGATTAGTATGGGTCGTGGCTCTGCGGGGCCCAGCACACACCCACGCCGCGATGCAGAAGTAAAGGGTCAATTATGCGGGTAAATGTTGCAGCGGAGGTTAGAATTAGATTTTTGTGTCTATGCTATCGTGAGCCTTCGAATTTATAAATTTATAATTAGGATAAAATTTATCTTTTGCTTTTGCTGTAATCAGGTGCTGGTGGGATTTTGTTTTGTCACTTATTTTCGAAATGATATCGTGCAGTCGAAGCTCCATTTATATTCGAAGTCGAATTAGGCATCTCATGTTCTACGCTATCATAAATGAAACCAGGTGTGACTATTAGTAGGCAGGTAATTGACAATGAGCATTGTCTCTCTCTCTCGTGATAAATATTTTTCTCACTCAGGTAAGAAATATTGGTCAAGACTGATGTTATGATATGTTCGTCCTTACCTTACATGCGTGCTACTGTGGTCGTATCCAATAGTCAAATATTCATAATGAAAAGAAAACGAAGAAAAATTGAAACTGATAGAAAACAAGTAATAATGAAATACCTCAGGTATGCACATGAATGATAGATAGATACTTATTTTATGTCAGGCCCATGTTTACCTATAATTAGAAAACCGTAAATGAAGGAACCACTCTGATTGATTTATGAAAAGTTCTCAATATCTATTTTTATCTAATGAAACAAAATATCATAAGCGTAAATTTAGAAATACACAATATCAGTTTTTTTCTAATATGTATGAAGATAGCATCAGTAAATACTGAAGATTGATTAAACCATTTTTTGTGATTTTCTTCATATTCAGTATTGGATTAGTGTCTTTAGCACTTCTCAACATATCTTTTTGTTGACATGTGTTGAATGCAAAATTACATTTTTCTCTGTTTCATTTCCAGCATAGAACCACCATTTCTACTTCCCAAAAAATCTACTTAACTTGTCGATTTTGAATGTGTAAACAACAGGAATGGTATTGTTTCTAAACAGTATGTTACATAAAACTAAGTAAAGAAACGAGAGATTCCTTGAAACAATGAAAACCAATTCTGAAAGAACATTCAAAACTGTGCCAAATGATAGAGACACTTCTGAAAAAAAGATGATGTGCTGAATCGTCGCGTTTTTATCACAAAACAATTCGTCATTCACTTTTCTGTCCTTTTTCGTTGTTTTCTTAGGTTGGTCGATAGTAAACAAAATGTTAATAGCAGTTTGAATTTGCATAGTAAAAATGATTATTTATTTAATTACGTCCAGATATTAAAGAGTATTTTTGCTCACTAATTTCTGTAGTTGAGATGATACGAAATTCGTATACTCGTCAATTTCAATACTTATGCATGGTTTATTGAGAGAAAATAGATATACTACTTTATGGTACTAATTCCTATACAAAGTTACCAGACGTGTTGAAAGCAAGTCTGTAATTTTTCTTCTTTCAGCATCATTCATCAGAAATGAGAATTATTATGACACTGTAAATAATTAGTGTAACTGACGCATCACCTAAACAAGGGAGAGGTTGAAATTGATGACAACTGCTATATTTTGATTATATCGATCTATGGTCACATAATATTAATGGTGAGAAAGAGCTGTTCCAGTTTATAAGGGGATAAAAAGCAAAGTAATAAAACAATGCGACGATTGAATCATTTTTCATTGGCATAAAACACACAGAATTTCTGTTTCTTCTGATGTTGACTTTTAAAATAACTACTATTTGAGCAGATTTTGTTTGTCAAGTAATAGTAATGATTTAAATTCGTTTAAGCATAAGATAGCAATCATTTTTATTGAAAAGAACTGGCAAGATCTTTGTTGGCAATACAGCAAGTAATGAACATTTTTTTGTATGTTGTGTATATGGTAAGTATTGATGGATATCTAAAGCTAAATTTAAATGAACAACGAAACAATAAAGTGGTCACTATTCATTATAGAATACTCTTCAACAAACTTATATGATAGGAAACCATGACGGAGAGAATTCTATCGAAGATATGCAACCTTTAAAGGTTGAATACTCTCATTTTCAAATCATTATAGATTCCGAACAATATTAAAAAGTCATTTTATACTAAAATGTGTCAACGTTCCGGGGCAATTTTATAAAGGAAATTTTTATGAAGTGCTGAATCATTTTATACATATAAGATTTTAGTGTGATTGACTAAAACTTGTTTTTCCTTCTTATCCATAAGGGATATCTCAAATACCACTTTATTAAGTAATTGATCCGTCTATCATGAAGCTATTGATTTGGGTACTTCCTTCGTGAGAAGTCAACTACGAAAAACACGAATGTATCAGAAAAATGTTTCTTCTTTCTCATTTTGTAGAGATCTTTTTGCTGATCATTTCGATAAAAGATGTTCCGAATTTCATAGAAAAATAATGCAGTTATGGTGAAAATACTGAAAATCCCTGATTCGCTGAGACTATGTAAGGGATGCCAATATTTTGACGATAGCTTTCCTATTCTCCGATTAAACTCAGACAATCTATTCATTAAAATGATCAGTGAAAAGAGCTCTATAAAATAGAAAAAATGAAAATTTTCTCAAAGACATAACTGTAGCTTGGTTTTGTTTTATAATGAAGTTTTTCAGTCAAAACATGGATCAGCAAAACTTACAACGGCTATATTGTTGAAATGTGTAGCCTTCTAGGTTTTGTAGCATGAATTCCACGCTACAAGACCCTATGTATGACATTCCAAAAATGCTATGAGACAATTGTTAAAAAGTCAACTGAAAGTAATGAACTAGAATGCTCACAACAAAGACAAGATGGTTCTCATGTATAGCTATAAAATATCGTCTGTCTCAGTTGCTATTTTTAGGAAACAATCGTTTCAGTATAAGACACAGAACACTCGTCTCTGAGAATCTTCATAACCTCCCCTGTCTCTCAGTCAGGGTCTGTGAAGGTTACTGTATATTGAGCTTTTTTGCATCGATTTTTAGCAAGCTGATAGTGCACTATTTTGAATGAAATGAAATCATTCATTGTAGAAAATAGGCTAAAAATTTGATTCATTGAATATCTATCATTTGCATAGACATACCCATTCAAACAGAAAAGCTTAAAAGTACGCCATTCAAACAGCGTATAATTTCTATGGTATTTCGACGTCTTAAGAAGGTCGCATATCACGCGTAAAAACACCACTGAAATCGTACAATATTTGCACGCGTTTGTTTCTAGTATATACAAGATGCGTTTGTCGTATAGTCTTTAATGCCATTGAAACGCGTGCAAGTGCTTGTTTTACGCATTTAATCAATATCGACTAAAGTTAGGCAACTGCTTGCCCACATACTGACATTTCAGTACTGGTCTCAATACGGATATCAGTGTTCTTTAAAACTTGATATCAGTACTGTTACCTTCTGATTAGTGGTTTCAAAATGTATCTAGGTGTAACTTATTGTTCTTCCTTTGTCTATTTCCTGCTACCTTCTTCCATCCATCTCTGATACACATCCGTCTCTGCATAACATAGTACACATCCACATCCTCTCTGCTACTCTTATTGGCAGGGTTCCACTTCTAACACGAGTAGCACAACCCAATCCTGATGTCAATCAACAGACCTACTGTATCAATCATTTCCACGAACCTGTTCGTCATTCTAACGATGATTCCCCACTGATTTATCAAAAGACACAATACAGGGTTCAATGAACAAAGGTATGATTGTGAGTATAGGCGAAAAGCAAATCCACATCTTCAGGTGACACTACTCTTAAGGTTTGATAAAAAAAAAACGGTGTTTTAGGATAGCTTTGTTATTTTTCTCTTTTCTTTGTGTTCACTCATTGGGCAAAGTCCAAAGACGTCTAAAAAAATACAGAAATATTTTATTTACAAATTTGGTTAACTTAGTAACTTCTACAACGTCTTGACTAACTGATGATACAAATATATGAATAGAAGAGATAATTGACTATCAAGCCGATTTCAGGCATTTTGCTTCAAATCAAACTAAATGATTCTGTCCTAAAGTAATTTTATATTTTCTGGAAGTGGTCGCAATTCTGTATCGTTTAAGATATAACTTCAAAAGACTATAATTTCAGCAGTGAAAGTTAGTCCATAGTACAAATGCTGATCGGTGGTACTCATCTTTATTAATGTTCATTCACAATCAAGATACTACATATTTTATGTTCGGCCGAGTCAAAAAATGTGACTTCAGATTCAGAATTATCATGGAAAACTGAATAAAAAAGTATTAATTGATTGAATGTAAAGTCAATCATATTAAAAATATCATATGGAAAACAGATAGCTTGAGTACATAAGGAAGGCTTTGGAAAAAGTGATAGTGGGAAGCATAGGTGAGTTCTTCATAAAAGAAGCTTTGCTAAACTATGTAGAGTGTGCCATAAACAACTTTTTGACAAAAAAATTTAAATATCTCTACTGTGATCGAAAGTATTGGACTGATTTTTTGTTCGTCGATGATAGAGTAGTGTTTAAAGTTCTTTTTACAAGAAAATCGATAATGACTACTGCCTTCATTTATCGACATTTACTTCAATTCGTATCATACTATTTCACAGGTTCGAGAAAAAAGGAAGGTTGAGTAGCTATTACAACTTTTTCTAATTTTAACATCGAATAGCAAAGAGAAAATTTAAAGTAATGCATGCCAACAAAAGTGGCAGAAAAAAACATTGTGAATACTCAAAACGATATCCTTTAGTATTAATGCATCGTTCGAGTCTTTCAGGCTCTGAATTGCACACTTTCTTGGAAAGGTCATCATCAATCTTTTGAAATGCTAAAATAATCGACTGGCTGAGATCTAATATACTGTCTAAGATGCATTAGTGTGCGACTTCTTTGAAGTTCCTCCATAAGAAAAAGTTCACAGCTATTAGATGAGGCAAAATTTCGGATCAATCGATTCAATTTCAGCAGCCAGTCTATCTTGACGGAAAATTTTGATTACATCATTTTCAAATATCATGCACATAGTGAGACGAGACATCATCTTGCAAGAGAAGGGTGTGAATGAATAAACGCCTTCTCTTCCTTTCCATCCATTCTCCATATTCACACCCTTCATCTAGACACACCGAATTAGATATCTCCAAAATGAATGAACAGAAGACAGAAAATTCAAGAAAAGTGAGTGACTACTATTGAATATCAATTAACATCATTGATCACTACTCCGACACCGTGACGCTGAGAAAGACATGGATGAGTATGGTTTATATACTAGTCTTTCCTCGAAAGAAGGCATATGAAGTGTCTTCTGAATGCGCCATTTTGTAGTTATGGCATTCAATAACCCACAAATTCATATCTGCTGTGTTCCTATTATTTTGTCTAAAATTTTTTTCCGTTTCAGGAAAAAGACTCTGTTTCAATGTTATTTAATCAACAAGCTGGGTTGCAACAAGTAATGTCGAGCATTATTTGACGCCCAATTTGATGACGTCATTGATCCTCTTTCTCAACAATTCTTTGTGATAGGGACCTGTGAAAAACAATTCTTTATTAGATTGAGGTTGTAATAAGACATATAAGTGTCAGACATTACTTCGAGTTTTCTGAATCCATACCATTTTCAGAATTTATACTGAATATTTTTGTTCATAAATTAGTTAGAAAGATGAAAGTATTCTCTATAGAATCATACAAGCCGCAGTTTCCTATCGTATATTGTTTAGAGAGGGAATCGATTTTACGAGGAATGTCAGATAGCAGCAGAACACAATATTATTTTCCTTCAAGAATTAAAGATATATATGGAAAAATACATTATTAATCAGACTGAATATCACCATATATAATTTTAGCTGCCCAAAAAATATACTTCTGCCGCAATCAATGAATACAGTATTCGAGTAAAGACAATAAATCGTGACAAAGTTGATATTTTACAAGGAACATGCTATTCTGTTAAGGTTACCTGTCAAACATTACATGTTAAACTCTCTTGAATTGACAAGAGTCGCAGTGATATGATATGTAAGAGAACACAACATTAGGTTTCGATTGATTCATGTTTAATAATTGACCTCTGAGTGATTAGGTGCTTCAGATTTAATTACCACCAAAAGCTACATCACACATGCACACGAAAACGAACTCGCTTTTAGATGAGGAGATGTATATGCTGAACAAATCGCAGAATCGCTGATCAACGTTGACGACGATGATACAGATACGGTGAAAGATTCGAATGATGAGTCAGAGAACGAGTCGGACAATGAAAAGCGCGAAAAAATGGATGAAGAAACTGATTATACCACAAACGATGCAATGCATTATGCTACAGACGCAGAAGTTCATGATGATGTCGATAATTGGCATATGTTTATCATTTGTCTACAGATAGTTCTCATTAACAGATTAATATGTTCCTTGTAACATGTCAATATTGTTACGATTTATTGTCTTTACTCGAATACTGTATTTCTTGATTTCAGCAAACATATATTTTATGGGCAGCTAAAATTATATGTGGTGTTGGTCAGTCTGATTAATAATGTGTTTTCTAATATATATTTTTGATTCTTGAAGGAAAATAATAGTGTTCTTCCAGCCTCTGACACTCATAGTAAAATCGATCCCCTCTCTGAACAATACAGGATAGCAAACTGCGGCTTGTGCGATTCTATAGAGAATACTTTCACCTTTCGAACTAACTTATCAACAAAAATATTCAATGTAAATTCTAAAAATAATATGGATTCAGAAAAGTCGAATTAATGTCTGATATGCATGCCGTATTGACAACTTGAATCTAATAAAGAATTGTTGTCTGGAAGCTGGCCCCTCGAGTGTTGAAAACAGCGGGTCTCTATCCTACTTCTATCTAAAGTTATTCAAAAAATGGTAATCCGCCTTTTATTTTGAATCAGGCAGTAGTTTTTCAGTGTCAACAGTTCACGCTCCACTGAACTATGCATAAAAAAAGATGAAACAAAGAAATTGTACTTGAAGTTTGACTTGTCGGTACCAATTCACTCAAAACATTAAACATGAAAAAATGAGAATGATCTGCTAGTTTATAAAATATCAGTAATCAATAGTTTATTTGATTTGATTTAAATATTTTTTGAACATCAATATACTTTTTTTATAAAAACAAAAAAGAACAGTTGATATAGACATGAAAAAAATGAATTCTATACAAAAATAGACTATTTGATTCGATGCTATTGAAAGAGACATTCAAGTTCATAATCAAATTTGAGTATATCACTCATTCGTGCTGCTTGAATACGATCGAAATGCTTATCAAGAAATTTATAATATGAATTTGCAGCTAACTGTTTCATTTTATGTAATCTACAAAGTAATTTTCCATCAACATTAATCAAAGCATTTTCTAAGCTAAAAAACAGAAGAAAAAACGTTGATTTTCTCGGCAAAATTTATTTAATAGACATACTGCAATAATTCAATATGTTCTAACCATTGTTTTACTGCACGTACATCCCAATCCATAACAGTGTTATTTTCTTTGCTACTTGGAGATGTATTATTCAGTTCTGATAATTTAGCTTTTTAAAATAAATTCGAATGAATACAATCTTAAAATAGAAATAAGGCACATACCATGATCAAGAGTTTTGTTATCAACAGAAGTAAAAGCAATACCATGTTGATGATAAAGAGGTTGATTAGTTTTATTTGCCGTAGTATTATGATCATTTTTCGTTATAATATCTCGTCTTATCGTTTCTATTTCACGAATTAATAATACAATTGCTTCTTCGAAACTAAATGAAATATTTCTTCAATAGATTAAAGAAGATCAATCTTTTACTCACGGCAATGTTGCAAAATCAACATGAACTTTCGCTCCTTTAATAATTCCAAGCTAAATAAAACAAATTAAAATCTAAATAAAGTTTCTCAATATCGTTACCCATCCATATGGTCGAAATCGTGGTTGCATTAGACATGGGATGCATGGTTTTCTCAATTCCGTTGCATATTCTTTTTGAAAAAGTAGATGTCAAGTTTTTGCAACAAAATTTGTCAAAACATACCTGCTTCTAAAATACAAAATGAACACCCAAAAATAGTTTAATTTATGTTACAATTCTAAACAAAAAATTTTTCTCCGCCCTTTTTATAGCAAATATGGCACTGTTTAATCTTAAATGAAAGCACTTGTTTTATATTTTTACGCTTGTAAACAGTTACGAGAGAACCTTTTCAACTGATCAATTGCTTTTCCAGTAAAAACCGGTGGGTTATAGGTTATCGACTATGTTGATTCCGAATATGAACAAGACAAATCATCTTAGGTCTTCAAATTACTGATTTTGTTTTGGAAAATCGCTTTTCGAGAAGCGCAAACATGTTGCCTAAATCGTTTTGGATATACTCAGATTAGAGCGTATCAAGTTGTCTACAACACAATGCTGAGACTAGGAGAAATCTAGAAAGATTCTTTTCGATGCATTACCTTTCGGAGTTAGTGCCATTACAATAGATGTTTTTACTATTGGCACGGTATTTATGAAAAGAACCAGACAAACGAATTTCAAACTCAGCTCTCTATGGGTAAACTTTTAGGCTTAAATTCGCTTGTCGGATTTTCTCTATAAATACCATGCCAAAGATGAAAAGTTCAGTATAATTCAATAACTTCAAAATGACAGCTCATGGAGGAGAATTCTTCTATGTTTCTTTTAGTCTCAATAGACATTATGTAATGACTAGGGACTCATCTCAAATGTGAGATATCGTCTTGGGTGATTCCCACGTGAATGATAACGTACTTTGAATCTTTGTGTTTCTGCAAAGATCATTTAGGTGAGCTTTCGACGTAGGTGATGATGTTTGATGCAATCCATCAATGGATCGTATGAAAGTAGCTTTTAACCTATTGATGAAATTTATTATTCAAATGTTTATCTATAAGATTGTAACTACAGCAAAGTAAATGCCAAGCATGTTACAACAAAATAGAGCTGTTAAACATTGAAACCTCTCTAACTGTTTTTGTTGATGAATTTAAGAATAATCGAGAATAAATAGTCGATTAGAAAAATAATATATCATGGCTAATTTTATACTATGTTTAGAAATGAACGGATTCAAATATCGTCCTATTTTCTCATTTGTATCTGACTCTATTCGCTTGATTAAAGATTTTTTTCAGATTAAACGTTGCTACATAGAATGACTAGATTCGAAGAGAAAATTTTTTGTTTTCTTAGAAATATATAACTAACCAAGTCGACAATAATAACTCTGTTTATATTGTTCATTCATACAAATCAATACAATAGATGAATCTTCAACAGCTCGAGCCATTGATTCTAAAACACCACCATTCAAATTATCAACATCAAGCCATACATTATAGTGTAAAGCCTTAATTATTGAAACATAAATAAATGACAAAATCAAAACGAAGAATATCTATTTACTTTAAGACGATCTCGAATTTTTAAACACATTGCTATTACTGATCGATTATATGAAATCATTATATGACCTTGAAATTGACATGAATTACTAATTGTTGAGCAATGTTTATGTGGAATACGATTAAGAGTCCATAGAATAGCTTCACAGTTTTTTTGAACCATTTGACTTCGACTATTATATTGAGCAAATGTTATTATACGAATAGCACGATCTGAATCAAGAAAATGCTGAGCTTTTTCATCAAATGAAGCATTTAATATTGCATTTGAGACACATTCAAGTAAATCATTATTTTGTGCAGAATTTTCAAGAAGATTTAAAAGAAGATTTACAAGATCTTGATCAATAAATGTATGTGTGCGACCACGTACCATTAATTTAGACAAACCATCAACAAGTTCAATAAAAGAAAATCCGTGAAATCTTTCATCATTTCTATTATACATTTGAATCATTTCAGATAATAATATAACAACGTCTAAATTGAAATGAATTTCTATATTAGCAAAATCAATATTAAATTTTTACCAGATGTAATTGCAGCTAAAAAATTATCTTCATCTTCATTCATTATTAATGTTAATAATAAACATGATGTAACACGTATAGCACTAGCTAGACTTTGTAATTCTTTTATAATACTGATATACTCTTGATTTTCGCTTGTTTCAGGAAATTGAATCTGAATTGTCTTTGATGGTAATTTTGTATAATCAACGACTATCTATATAAATTTATTTTGAAAAGGAAAATTTGAAGAGCGAATGAATGTCTTTCATATTCACAGAGATACATAGAGCTTGATAAATAATTTGCAATCTTTGAAGCGGTCCTGATTTTTTTTCAAAATCACTCTGACTCGTTTCTAGTTTTATTAAATAATTTCGATTTTTTTATGCTGCTTCAAAAAGTCTCAAAAACTAAATTAATACAGAATTATTCGTTAAGCCTAAAATGAATTAGAACGATTTTCAGAAACTGGCTACACTATATATGAGTTTATGATTGCATTAAAAATTTTCGAAGAGGCTTTGATTTCTATGTTACTTCGTTTCTCGAAAGATATATTCAAAACATATTTGAGTTTTATTTATTCGTATGATATTCAAGATATATATTGCATTGAAAATGAATGCTAGATATATGTGAATCGTCATCAATATGGTATATATATAACTTTCAAAGAAAGACAATTGAATATACGAAGTATAAACTTATATTATCCGTTATGAATTTGAGGTGTTTGAACATCAACGAATGTTACAATTGATATTTATTCTTTCATAATTTAACTACAAGTTAATTGTTCATAGGAGTTCTATCGTTTTCTCTTAACTCTGATATGGAGAATATTCTTCTGACTGATAAAAAAAAAAGCAAAAAACAGCTATATATAATCGAGAAAGAACAAACATTCTATATTTAATACCTACCTAGCTGAAATATTCTTCTGTAGACTGTTTGTCGGTTTTTTTCAAATAAGAGTACATTAAACATTAAGCTGAGTTATGTTATCTTGATTGTAACAAGAAAACGAAAAAAAAAACAAAAATGTTTTGTACTGTTAGTATCAGTACAATGAAATGAATCAGTTTCTTTCGTTCTGTTTAGAACGCAGCATTATTAAGCTCCATGTGTCATTATCATTTTCGAGAAGTATTTCGCAGAAAAAGAACAAAAGAAGGTTTAAACCCATTGAACTATACTATTGAATTTGACAACGCATAGTCAATGTAAGTCGATTACCTCATTTTCATAGAAGATATACATACAGGGTATCCCAAGGGTTCGTGCGAAAAGTTCATGTAAATATCCCTTACACATTTCAAATAATTTAGTTGTTTTATTTTCTATAATATGATAGTATATTTTTGTGACTTTTATTTCATATAATCTAGTTTAAAACAAACCATGAACTGAAATACATAAATTCATCCTTTTCGAAATCTTTAAAATATTACAGCCAGTTTATTTTTGAATTAATTTATTTTCGTTATCAGTTCTCATTTTAAATTCAAGCGAATGTTTATATGTTTTATACACATAGATTTTGCTTTAATATATACCAATAAGCCAGTCATTTAACCTTTCAAGTACTAGGACCCTGTCTGTGAGAGAACTTTCTATAAGCTTTTAATATTTAAGACACTCATAGTACAATATTAATATTTTCATCAAAACTTTTTAAAAGTCTTTTAAAGTCATTTTAGACCAATGCCCAAACTCTAGCATGAAGACCCAGAAGAAGTATTTTAGTCATCCTCGTGAGAGAGTACGGATGTGAATCAAAATTCAATTGAGAGCTGTCGCAAAATCAACATTCGGCATATCGCTAGGAATCACTTCTAACTTGATTCCAACACGGAAAATCAAAATATTCTGGGGACCATAAAAGTGTATTATTTGCCCTCCTTCTTTTTAGAATAGAGATGATATTCCCAAAATTTATCAGTTTTACTATCTGAGTGCCATCATTAGGATTATAACTCTTATATAGATGTATGCATCGAAATCTCTTCTATGTCATATATAAAACCGTACTTTAATAGTATTTTGCGTTAGCAAATTATTTCAAAATTCAGAAACTTAGAAAATGAGTACTTAATAAAGCATGCTGACATTCGAAAAGTTAGATGAAAATAGAATTCGTCGGAAAAAAGAAAACGAATTCTTTTTGATTATCGATATTTTCTACAACTGGTATCAAAATTTGAGAACTTCATCTAGATCTCGTGAAGTTTTTGACCAAATTGCATTTTATACGGCTTCATCGGTAGATATTAAGTCAGAATTAGGCCTGTTACTATTCTTAGGAATGAGGCAAACTATTACAACAACCCGAACACTCGATAGTCGTATATTTTCACAAGTATTATGAACTTTGTCTATTTTCCCTTTTGTAATCTTCGAAGATATTTCAGATTGTCGTCTATTGACTACTATACTGATTTCACAAACGCGTGGAAAAAGCATTCCTAGTATAACCTATGCCTAGCATCTGTAGGTCAAATCCAATTTGCATTTTCGTTTCACAACGATAAGTGACTTAACTTTGACTTAAAAAAAAAACTATTTTTATTTTAATGTTTATAAGCATAGACAATTATCTGAAAATATACAGAACAAAACTTTGAAAAATCTACTATGATATTACTAAAGAATTATACGAATCGCTTGAACTGTTAAGGCGCTATTCACGTAAACTTTTCATGCTAACTTTCGGGATACCTTGCGTATACGCATTCGTAAAGAATGCTTTTTTTGCATCATTCTAATCAATTAAATACGTACAGTCATTGCCTTGCATTCTCGAAAATGAAGTTTAAGTTCTGGTAAATTTGCTAGATTATAAAGAATAGTAAGAGCAGAATCACAAATGTATAAAATTTTCTAAATATAAAACAAAAAATTATTACAAATAATATAGAAATAAAGTCAAACTTGATAATTATTAAAATCATCACTTTGTCTTGTTTCTTCTGGACTTTGAATAATATAACATTTTCCTAGTGATTCACGATATGATGGATCACTAAGAATCTCACAAGCAAATTCAATAAAACCAGCATCAGCTGATTGCTAAAATGATTTAAAAAATAAATAATAAATCAACTCTTTAAAAGATTTTTATATTAATACTTTTCTAATAAGGCCTTCTTTGTCAAATTCATAATCAGTAAAATTAGTCATTGAATTATAAAGTAATATACTATGAAGAAAAACTATACTTCTTACTAAATAGCCTTTTTCTTTATAAATGTTCATTAAAGTCATTGCCATTTCTATAAAAATTAATTTTTGATTAATAGAAGAAAAAAACAATGCAAATCTAACCTGGAAATTTCATTTCAGATAATTTTAACTTTGCTCCTGAGATCCATTCTTTTGGTTGATGAATTAAATTTTCAATAAAACGAAGAATCTTAAGAGTTGTTTTACTTTCATATTCGTCTCGTTTCATATTTCTCAATAATATTAAAGCTTCTTCTAACTAAAGTAAAGAAAACACGAAAAATAGAAGCAATCAAATAAGTTATACTTCAAATAATAACTTTTCGTGTATATTCGTCAAATGTTTGAGCTGCATATTCAAATGGAAGTGTTGTCTCTGATAATGTTAAAGCGACTAAACCAGCATTATCATCTGTATATGAAATATCCGTATTTTCCAAAGCTTTGGTTCGTATACGTTCACGTTTCTAAATTGTGAATAAAAAATTGTTTTGCAATAGAAATTATTGTTGTCATTTTCTTACAGTGAGAAAAATCATTGGATTTTTTGCACAACGTTTACAAACAACAACTTGAGCTAAATTAGCATGTTCATGTTGACTATGTCGACTAAATATTCCTTTTATTTTAGACTTTACATCTTTAGAACATGATTTAAATCCACTATATCTTGATGATGAGGATGAAGATATGGTAATTGTGGAATTAGATACCTAAAAACAAGAATAATTGATGTAATTTATTTTTTATTAAAAAACAAAAAAATATTTTCATACAGTATTAGATGATTTTAAACGTAACATTTTGTAGAATTCGAAATCGGTTTAAGTCATTTGTTCTATTTAAACATGTAAAAAATTCAAAATATTATTATTTGTGTGTTTTATGAGTAATTCTTTATCTTTGTTAAATGGCATGTTATTTATAATAGAATACCATCCTGTGGTCACCGTTTAAAGGAAATGCACGAGTTAAGGGAAAACATGAACACCATTATGGAGGCACGAAGGGAGAAATAGGATTGGTTACAATTTTTCAAATAGAAATCATTATAGTGAATGATGATTAACATAGAAACAATAGAGGTATCGACTTAATAAAACTATCAACAGTTTTTTTAAAAGGCTTTCGTGGTATGCATTACGTTGTTTTTGTTGAGAAATGGTACGCCACAGTTCAAATTTTCATATTACCTCAATTTATGTTTTAAATTTGTGTTATTTCATATCCTTCTGATTGTTTTCGATTAAACATTTTTATGTATTTTAATCGAGTCTGCATTTTTTTATTTTGTTTTTGTATAAATTCGCAATTATTGCATGCGGCATATATCATTTATTTCCGCGATAAAGGTCTTAAGACATTTTATTAAACATATACTGAAATGTTTCATCAGACAAACTGAGTTATATTTTAAGCAAAATCTATATTGCATGAATCAAGAGAGTTATCTCATGAGTATTTACTGCTAAGTCAAAGACTAACTCATTTTCTTTGCTTATAGTGACCTAATATTGAAGCTAAAAAGATCGTTGTATCGAGATACGATGTTTCAAGTGCTATTTATTGAAATAATATGATTTAACTACAAATTATAAGAACTTAATAAACAACAATTAGATAATAAAAGCATAAAGAATGCCTAATTTATTTTAATTTACCGCAAAATGCGCTAGAAATAACATGAGTACCTTCATCAGTCTTGAATAAGTCATCAACAATAGTATCCTGTTTATGATCGTTGCATGTTACCATACTGATAAAATGAGAAGGTTTATGGCTTGTTGTACCAAATAATGAGTATCTAAATGATGAAGCGATTTGTTATATTTGTTGTAGTCAGGGTGACCAGATCAAAAGTTCAAAATTCAGAAATTTTTTTTCATCATCAGAAAACGATTAAATTCTCTTTGGAAAAGCAGAAATTAATCAGAGAAGACAGTTTTATAAAAACCTAGTGGATATTATGTCAAGATGCTGGCATTCAATGCTCCGTTGGGTTTCTGTTCAGTGACTTGTACTATATCTTCAAAGGTGTTTCACTATAAAAAATAAGGCAATCCAATGAATATATGGTTTCATTTATACAAAAAGGCTACGAAATGATACTTAGTGTCGAACTTTTTTTACCAAGCGCAAAACTCATTCTCAAATACAGTACAAAAACAAGCCACATATATATTCTATAGATTAAGAAATCCAACGAAAACATAGTTTATGTAGTATTATCTGGATTTTATTATTCATATTTTACATTTTTTCGACTTTGCATGAACAGATATGTTCGACATAACGTGTTTATAGATTTGCTCAAAGAATATTTATAATTCATTCTTATATTAAGTGCAGCAATTACTACATCAGAAAAATGTTCAAATTTCAGAAAATTTCCCTATTTTTCAGAAGATCTGGCCACCCTGGTTGTAGTTCTAATATTTTATTCACTTATACTCACTGTTGATTTTGTAAGTGAATATGACGTGGAATGTTTGCTGTCGTGATCGTTGCCTCGACATTTCCAATTAGTAAGATTAGTGGACAAGTAACATTTACAAATGTCGGTACTGTTAATGATCGTTGCCCAGTATAGACAACAAAAATACTATAACGAAGTAATTGTTTGATCTTTATATATACCTTTTCAATAGACTTTACCCTGATTCGCCTTCCTTATTTTCTTTTTCTTCAATTTTTACCTTCTGTAAATATCTTAGCTCAGCGTTATTTGGTACAGAGATGTTTGATGACCATTTAGTTATTTCATCAATACATTTTTCCGGAATTTGATTACCGAATTGCCGAATGATCGGATCCTGGATCTTACCATTGATCACACTGAATAGAAGAAAAAATTTCATTGTTAGTGTTTATGTGAAATACAGATACATTAATATCAATTCGAAAAACTCCTATTCCTGTTTTCGAGGTTAAAATTGAGTTGAGTATGCAAATGAAAAGAACGAAATAAAAAAATTAAAAAAAGCAGGAATAGCAGCGATGCAGACATACACTAGAGCGCCAATAAAAAAAAAGATAAAAATTTCTGTTCAAAATATCGAAATAAATCAAATAGAGACTACGTTCAACGGTAGATAATTTCGAAAAACTTAAGTCGAATAGAGAATTTTGACTGTATGTATCTTGTTTTAGTTTAATTCGGTTGAACAGCATATATATGTCCAGTAGATTATTTTCATTATTAAAAGCAAAATAAAAATTATACTTCAAAACTAATTTTTTACTGAGCTTTTTAAATTAAGACAGAAAATGAGACTGTTATTATACAAAACAAAAATACAATTGATAATATATATATATAGCATCTATATACGACAACAATATATGGATGTGAGTTGAATGATAATTTATGAATAATCCAACTGTTGCGCATAAATAACTATAAATTGTTTTATACAGTACTAAGAGTTATAGATACTGAATTCAAATGAAGTTTTTATTATTACTTCAAAACAATCTCTAATGTATTATCTATCTTCATTTTTCTAATATTGTTTATTATTAATTTAGCTAATCGCTAGTGAAGCAAAATTAAAAATATGTTTCAAGAGTTGAATTAACAGTTAGAACATACTTGAAAGATAAATACGAATTACAGTATGATTTTTTCTTCATCGGACATTGAATGTTATTGCATACGGTTTCACACTAATACTTTTGTAATAAATTAGCAAAATGATGTGCAAAAAAATGCATCGTCAGGACCGTAGCAATTTATGTAAATATCAGCAGCAAGAGTTTCTTCAATACGTCGCTGTTGAGACATTTGTCATTTATACAGATCTGGTTCCATATTTTTCTAGAACATTATAAGGTAAAATGATGTAGATGGTTGAATATGTAATGATGAAAACATTCTTCAAACATGCGGCTTATCTTCACAGTTCTAGTACTGAATATTTATATTATCTTTAATAATGTTATTATCAGTAGATTAGCGAAAAGGATTGTGATTTTCATTTTCTAAGACGTAGATGATTTCTACTATGTTAGTTTCATCTTTCCTATTATTTTTTTCAAACGAAGTATTCATTCTTAAACTCCAAATACCATCGAGATGAATTCGACCTGCAAACTTTAGATTTTGATGCTCAATAATGATCAAGATGCTGAATAAGTAAGATATTCAATACTAAACAGAACATGTTTATGCATCTACAAATTTCACTGATGTGTAAATAGTATAGTAACTTAGTAACCCAAGAACAAGTCAAAAGTATCCGACATTACTTTCAAAACGCTAAGTATTGCTTCGCTTCTATGTTGCTGGTCGAGTGCTTTATCAACAATACCAATCATTTTTGCCCAAATGAGACGTGCCATGTTCCAATCTAACGCATACAATAAAGGTTCTATTTTAAGAAGTGTTTCAGCCACAATATTTTCCTGTTTTGCTGTTGATTCGAGAAAAATCTCGAAAACAACTGTTGTTGAGAAAAGCAAGTCGTAAAAATGATAAGAAGTAGTCTAAGGTACATGTTGCCACAAAAATAAATGTTAAATTTCCTTCAGTTACAGCACCATCGTTGTTCGAAACAGCTGAATCGCAAGCAGCACATTTCTTTGACATTTGTTTTCGTTGTCGAGCTTCTTGCTAATCGGGTGTTTCACGATCTACTTTCAAAGACATGCTAATTATTAGAGTTCATTAAAAAATAGGATTATTTTACAGAAAATTGGAATTTCCCATCCAGATTCCTTCAATGGGTCATGAGAATTTTCGATTGAATGATTTTTATTATCAATCTTTTTTAAATCATCGCACTCTTAACAAAGTAAAAACTATTTGGAAAACCAAAAAGCTATATGATATTAAATAGTGTACTTATCTGACATAAATCATTTGTCGACAAAAGGCTATTACTACATGCATAGCTATGAAATTATATGTAACAATCAACAACAAAAAAAGAATGCCAAAAGAGCAGTAGTAACATTAAATTTTGTAGCATAACAATTACCATCTGGAAGACGAAACTAGTTTCCTTTCTGTTTTTTCTTCTTCGTTCAAAAAATTATCAATCAATTGTTGATACGAAACTATTGTTTCATCCAATTGATGGCAGGTATCATCAATTAGGCTTTTAACAGAAACTTTGCCAACCTTACAAGTTGTTGAGCTGCTCTGATTTGGTGAAAAAAAAGCATTGAAAAAAGATAAACTATATAGTATTTATTTGAAGAATTGCTTGTGTAAGTCTTTTTTACTTGCTGTACTATTTGACGTCTTATCCGCTGTTGACATTGGATTTTGCATATTTGTGTCTTCTAAGACAGCAAAATCTTTTGATAAAGTTTAAGTCGGGACGCAAAGAAAGTCATGTAAAACTTGTTGAATATTTTAAGAGTAATTCAAGTTAGATCAGACCTTGATTTAAATATTTCGATCTGTTTTCCAGAACTCGTATCGGTAATGGTTATACCAAATAACTGAATTTTGTCTGATTAGAGGGTTTATTAGAAAGTAGTAGCTGTCTTTTGGTTGAATAAATAATAACCCATAACTTACTTGTCTTCGTTCTATTTGCTTTATTTTGTGTAAAGAAATTCTTTTTTGAAGATTTTCCAGTACCAATNCTTATCTGCCTTTTTATCAGCATCCACTATTGCACCAAACTAACTACTATGTACTTGGCCTGTTACATCTGTTTTGAAACCGAGACTAAGGGTCTAGTTTCATCTTATCCTCTGGATAATTGATTTTCGACACAGCGCTAATAAAAAAAAAAAGAAAAGTTCTTACTATTACCCCGACCATTGAATAACCACATGAATCATGTTAAATTAAATGTTCTGATGTCAATTACCTCGACTTAGATAATCTAGCAGATAATATATATTGTTTGTTGATAGGTTTGAAGATCTTTATAGACTTTCTGTTGTCATTGAATATTCTAGCATCTATCAATGGATCTTTCCTAATTATGAATACTCATTAGACATAATGTGTGGTTCACAACTAACTAGACGATAAAAGCATTCATTATCTTTAGCCTGCTTTAAGCAATTGGACTGGTTCTTTTCTGTGTGATAGAAGATCCTTCAAAATTATTATTCATAAGAAAACCATCGATCAATACTATTTTAAACTAGCACTATTGACCTTATTAAAGAAATAAATGAATGGTTGAAAGCATCGTCTCTGTAATCTTAGCTATTATTACGGTCATACATCTGAAATTTTTAGCATATATACCATCTCATAAATGTAGAACAGCCCGATAGAACCTGTTAGATCCAGAATTTGCGAACTCGGCCGAACCGTACTTTGATACTCTCAATGAAATTCTTTAATCAAAATCGGATAGCTGCTCCAAAGATATGAGAAGATTTTCTCCAGTTCTTTTTTATTCAGTAACTAGCGCACTCCACACATTTCTCAGACAACTAAAGCCCATCGGATCCAAAATTTTTAGATGCGAACCAACCCGACGAGCTGTACAGATCAGTCTCGCTCGCTTGATTTGAAGAAGAGTTATGATCTATGAGAGCTCTGCTCATTGTGAATTCTATAAAGGAAAAAAACTTACGATCTGGTAGACCTATCGTTATGTAAGATATCTGGAGTTTTTAAACGCTAGATTGAAATTCAATAAAATTTATAGCGTGAATAGCCGTCTGAAAGGACTATATAATGATAGGTTCGTCGAGTTATAAGCTTCTTCCCTTCTTGAGTTATAGAAGTCACTATGGGAAGGACTGCTAGCAATGATAACTCATCTTCAATTCAAACGTACAAGGTCAAGACGAACTTAGTTAACCTACTTTTCTAAAGTAGTATACACACTAATAATTGCACATGTCTAGCTCTAAGAATGACTGAGATTGCAGGATGAGATACTTTTGGCCAATAGTGTATTTCTTTATTATTGTCAATAGTGCTTGTTCTGTTCAGTATCTATTTGACAGCTTCTTTATGAATAAAAACTTTCCTCTATGATCAAAAAAAGTACAGCCCGATTGATCAAAGTAGACCGAAGATATTGAACTTTTTTATCATTTAGTTATCTATGAGTCACCTTGTACGTATAACAGTGATATAAACAGTTATGAATTTCTTTTTATCTAGATTATTATAGACGTCTCGTTTTAAATGTCTGAAACTTATTTGACTTTCTTCACATTGAATGTTTCGTTAAAAGAAAAAGGAAACAAACGAATACTCGATTCAAATTAATATTTCATTTATTTCAAGGAGTAATTTAGTAACGATTAAAATTCATTTTTTTAATATTTGATGACAAATGTAAACATTATTATTCGTTGTATATCAAGCAAGAAAAAACCTAAATGATTGTATGCATAAAAGTAAAAGAATAAAATAAAAAGTCTTGAATAATAAAATTGCATTATTACATATTTACAGATATATTTAGTTTAATTGTGATGAAGACAAAAAAAGATGAAAGAGCTTATTACTGTTAACAGACCGGGCAATCAAAAGAAGAATTAAATATAAAAGCTATGATTCAATTTCTAAAAAAGAAAACTTTTTGTAAGTAAACATATCCAGAAAAAAAATCAACTTCATCACATTATTGCTATATTATTCATCATATTGGTTCTGAGTTTGCTCTGATAGATTTTGGTGAATAATGAGAAATAGCCATTAATGAAGTAGTCGTTCTTATTTTAGAAGCATGTGCAGATCTATTATCATTTCGTATATCATCTTCATCTCTATTTCTGAGTTGTTGTAAATGAAATTTGATTTTCTCCAATTGATTGAAATATTTAGCAAGACATTTTTGTATTTCCTAGAAAATTAATTTTGTTAATTTTAATGAACAAAAAGAAAATCAATATCTATTTATATTATATTCACCATAAGTTTTTGTTCTTCAAGTTGATCAAGACTTCTATGTAAATTTATTTGAAGTTGTTCTCTTAAGTCTTCCTGCATTTCTTCAAGCTGTATTTAAAAAAAGCAGTTAGTACAATCACTTTGAGATTAATATGTGAAACACGATGTTGCTAATCACGGGGAGATTATTTTATTCTATCTATTTTGGGACATATTTCTTCTCCATACTTTTAATCTTCGCGAAATGCAATGATAAAGTAGTTCATACATTAGAACAAAATGTTACTGATATACGGTCTTTGGTCGTGTATCAATAACGTTTGTTGCCATATGTCATACAAGGATAGTGCAACGCTACTAATATGTCTACGATGGATGGGGCGGAAAAGCATACTTAAGGTATCTGTCACGGCCTGTGGTGGAGGATAGACATTGCTAGAGATGTTCGCCATGCCTATGATGAGCTGTTTGTAACGTGTCAATCATGTAGGTATCAATAAAACCGACTTTATTTTAGCATTGAAATCGTATCGAATTCAGCCAGAGGATGTTGTTTTCGGATCGAAATCGCTCGTCTCAAATTACGAATATAACATCATCGGAAACAATTAAAACAGTATCGCTGTGCAGAAATGGATTAGGAATGAACAGAAATTACAAACAGCTGTTGAACCACGATAAATATAATGTTATTAAAGTTACAAGAAGATGATGAAACAAATTTTCGTAATGACTAATTTCTCTAACTTCTGCAAGTGTGACTAAAAAGCAATTGTGAATTAATACATATGTATTCTTCGATTGAAATGTATATATGCTTTATGAGAAGAAATAATGACTTTATTTTTAAAATATTATTTAAATAGATTTCTGAATGACTAATTTAACTCTCTGTAAGAAGATAAAGAAAAATTTTATTATCTTTTGATGGTAATGCTTCTAATTCCAATATTCTTGTAAATTAGAATCGAAATCAGCAGACTCCAGCTTTTTTTGCTATGGGAATCACAATTCCTATTGTTACGATCTATGATGAATTGTCGACCACGCGTTTATTATAGTTTGCGGCGGAGGATGGATACAACTTTGTATCATATATACTTCAACATTCCTTTTCGACCGTGTTTCACAAAATAAATTTATTTATAATGGCTCCTATATCTGTTCGACTCGATTTATTTTCGAATTTTTATTCGTTGCCGTAAACACAAATAAAAAAACTAAGCATTGACTTACATAAAAAATTTCATTTTCTACCAGATTTTTTTCAGATGAAAATGATTTTTAGTTACTTAAGGATAGAGTCTCTGAAAAACCACAAATCAGGATTTTTCAACTGTTGGAATTTCATAAATAGTATTCTATTTGACTTATCCAAAACAATAGAGAAAACAATTTTCTACATGATGAGATATGATTCAACTCTCTATAATGTTTATTTACGAGAAACATCAAATCTTTGAGATGCATAAAAATGGTGTTTCAATAAGAAATGCAAAAGAAAGATCGTAGCGAATCGGAAGACATTTCATATTACGAAAAATTGTTTGCTTAATCATCCTTGGTATTTATAACAGAATGCCAATAACAAATTCTAGCAGTTGATAAAACTGGTTCAGAGGTTTGCATGAGACTCTATCTGGACAAAACTTACGATCTTTTTCTTGGAAAATTATTGCTGAAAATCAAATTCTCTATTCAAATTAGTAGTTAGATTTTTATTAGTGTTTATGGCAAGAGAAAAAAATTGGCAATCAATCTAGTGGAATCAGTTCGGGAGTCACTATATGTCAAGAAAAAACAGCGATGATAGTTACTGTTTGAATGATTAATACTCTAGCTTTTGAATGCGATTCGACAATTTTTTGTTTTAACATCAGAATTTGATCTCTATAAAACAAAATAAAAATTAGAAATGATTAATCGATTGATTATTTGAATATAAATTTTTTCAACATGCCGATCTTTTTCAGTTTTTTCAATATCATTTGTTTCTCGTTTTATTTGTGATTGAACGTGTTCGTTGACACGAGATTTTTCTCTAACAATCGAAATGATTAATAGTATTTAATATTGCTTTGACATTTACTTACTCTTGAAGAATTTTATCAATTTGATTCGTTTGTCTTCTATAATCATTTTTTATATGTTTTTCTATTGTACTATAATACTATAAGAAATAATAAATTCCATATGAAAACTTTTATTTTGACATTTTCACTTAAGAATATACGAACTTCATCTAAACTGCTACATTCTAATTCTTCTTGTTGATTAAATTTTTTTGAATGAAGTGAGAGTAAAGATTGTTCAGCTTGTTCAATATTCTTTGAAAAAAAAAAACAAAATATAAATGAAAATGAATTAATTAATAAATTTAATTTTAGTTGAATAATAACTTTTTTCAGAATTTCACTTGTTGTTTGATATTTATTTTCCGAATTATTTGTCATTGTTGATTTGTCTCGATGAGTATCACATTGAAGATTAAAACATCGTTGAAAAATATCTTCTTCTTTTTCAATTTTCTATATTAAAAGAATAAATGAAACATTTTGCTAAGTTAAATTATGAATTGTCGAACTCTATTCGAACTACAGATTAAACTTATAATTCAACGTTTGTTAAACTAACAAGGAAAATTCCCAATTGGTGAGTACTTTTTACTCAGGACTATATATATTATTTAGATCCTAATGAACTAGAAATATTCTGAAACGAGTTTGAACTTTTAGCTTATTACGATGGGGACATACTGCATTTTTAAGATATTTTCTTAACAGAATATTGTGGCTCCCTTCAAGAACACTAGAAAAGCTAAGTTTCGAATTTCAACTTGACAAGTTGCATAGAAACAGGCCTTAATGAGAATAATTTATTGTGAAGCTTTGAGATCTTTTGATTGCTTTTATCCAAAGATTCGGCTATGTTAAAAGCATGTTTTTCACATCGCCCATATACAACGACAAATGTCGATGTTCTTATTTCAGAATAGATACAATCGAACAATCTGAAGCTTTTACATTAAGCTATTCTAATTAAAGTCTGTCTCTATGCAGAGTTTGAAGTCGAAGTTCGAAACTCAGTTTTCCTAGTGTTTCTGAGAAAAACTACGACAGTAATAAGCTATTAGTCCAAACTCATGTTAGGGCATTCATAGCTCATTAAAATCTGCATGATGCACATAATTCCAAATTAAAAATGGTTTGATACTTGAAAACGTTCTCTTATCAGTGTATTGATTGAAATTTTGCAGATTATTTTGATCAAAAATTCTACACATTTATAAATTGTTCCAGAGAGTTTGAATTAAAAAGAATATCACTCTTACGAATTATTAAATTTTTAAGTAAACTCAATTTTGAGAATTAAATAACTATTTCAAAAGAAAACTTTCAGAAGATTTTCTAAATATTTTTTTTTCTTCGAAATAATTTATTAACTTTTTACTAAAACATTTATTCTTAAAAGATACCTTTTGATAATCAATTGAAATTCGTCGTAGTTTGTCATGAATAGTTCGATCTCCTTTAACAATTTCTTTGGATATGATATCATTTAATGAAAGAACGTTACATAAAATTTTTCTCTCATGTAATCTACTAGCAGCAATTAAATGTTTTTGATACGACTTTGTTTCATCTGATGATATTGTTTCGATCTGTGTTCTACCAGTGTTTTCTTGTTGAATAGATGATAAACTATGATTTCGTACTAAAATTTTCGAAACAATTTTATCATATTTATTTGTTTCATTATTTGAATCTTGATCTGATTTATTTAAATTCTTAGTTTGACTCATTAATGGATCAACAAGTTTACTAGCAATATCTTGATATTCAGCATTAATATGAATATTGATTTCGATAAATATCAATAAACTTGATGAATTAATAGGTATATTTATTTGATTTCGTAATACAACATAACGATAACCTGGACGTATATGAGCAATAGGTATAAAACTTTGTCCTATGAATGTTCCATCTTCAGTTGAAACAACAAAACGAAGTGCCGCCATTTCTGGTAAAGTAACATTTGGAAATCGAATATTATATTTATTTGAATCAATATCTGTATCATCATAAATAGCTTGAAAACCATTCCAACGTTTAGCACGCACAAGAAACTCATGTCGTTTAGTAGTATCACCATACATTCCATACATTTGAATATCAACAAATGTTGGTTCACGATCTTGACATAAAAATTGACCCGATATAACTTTTATATGAATTTGATAACCGGCAACATTTTCAATATTCATTCGAACTCTTGGATCAAATGAACGTTTTAATTGACATAATGCTAATGGTTTTTCTATATAACCACAAGCATTATTAAATGAAAATAAGCCTAAATTAAGTTGCATCGGGACATCTAGAATAAAATTAATTGATTAAAAGCTGGTTAGTGTAATGTTTTTGGGGTTAAAATATGGAACTCACATATGTTCTTCAACCTCATTATACTAATCCAACATTTGTTAAGTGAAAAGTTTCAAGCAGACTATAGTTCGTATTTCAAGGACAATAGGTCGCCCAAGAAACGATCCGTCTTATTTATTTTTATACTTCGAACAGAAATCCTTGTCTTCTTCTCAAGACGTTTTATTTTTCTCGTATTTCGTTTTTCTTAACTTAACATTATCATTATTCTAATCATTGATTTATCTCGATCAGCTCACAAACACTGATATTAATTATCTTCCAAAGTTATAATTTGATCCGGTTTCGTCTGTTATGCTAATCATATAATGACTTTGGCAAATCAATGCATCATCAAACGTATTTCAGCCAATTCAATTTTAAGGAAGGCGTTGAAATGTTCTAGAATAGTGTATATCTTGTTATTAGTATTGTTCAATAGAGATATGCAGGGTTACTCTACCATACCCTACAGGGTAAGGGTAAGCATGTTGTAAGATAGGGCAGGGTAGACATGCTGAAAGGTAGAAAACAGGTTAGAAAATTTTTCTTAATCAGGATGGAAGGTACGATAAAAACTTATCTTACACATCTCTACCGTTCAGTTCCTTTTCTCGTTGCTAAAGAACTCTGGAAACAGAGTATGACGTTCATTGTCGTCAGTTGCTGTAGAAACGTACCTAATAATAATTGACCTTCCACCCTCTCCCGAGATTGCCCAAGAACTGAGAAATACAAATTCCTTCTCAGTTCTTCCACAATTCCATTATGACTGCTAAAATCAAAAAAACACAATATTCATGATATTTTTTTTGCTTTCACATTGATATCCAACAGAAAATTATTGAATATGAACATATGGGTATGAAAAGTATTATAGAAAGAGCATCATTATAGTTTTTATCATGAATGGCAGAATCTTGAAGGAAATAATGGTTAATTCTCGTTTCCTCGAAGAATTATTATAGCTTCGTTGAGAGTTCCTTCACAACTTAGGAATTCCTATTTATCAGTTTTTGAGCATTGTTACCTTTCCAGTTGTGTTGTGTGGAGAATGAGAGGAGCCGCAAAAGGTTGACTTAAAACTTTCACTCATTATACTTTTCTTCGAAAAACATAATGTGAGTTTCACAAAAATAAATCGTTATAGACTTTTATTTTGTTTTTCTTACCTAATGTTTGATAATTTAATGCACACATTTGACATCCAATAGGCCAAAATATATATGGATTAAAATTACTTGATTCCCAACGTGTACCACGTGGATATATTCGGCATAATTGTCGTTGATTATAAGAAAGAAATTCTTTTGCTTGTTCACGAACTATATTCAATGCTCTGTCTTCAGAAAATGATGACATTTCAAAACTTCTATTACGTTCTTCTGCTAGTGCAAATGTTTTAAATCGTACAGGAACTACATAATGAACAAGATCCGACATAGCTTTTGTTGCTTTCGATTCACGATATCTATCATTATTTGCTGATTGACTTTCACTTGGATTTGTTTCATTAATATCTGTACATTCTTCAGATGAATCTGCATTATCGATAAGAACACAATAGCGAGGATTTTTATTCATTAATTGTTCATGACTTGCCAATGAAGAAATTTGTTCAAATACTGCCTCTTTACTTTTATTGGAGTCATCTGATTGTGTCATATGACATAAATTTTTAGGTGATGGTGGAACTGTACTTATATCAGTACTTTGATCACTACTACTTGTTGATACTGAAGTTGGTTTTCGAGGAAGTGTTCGATTATTTCCATTATTTACTTTTGAAATTGAATTTGGACTTGGATTTGGATTTAGTTTTTTATTTTTAATTAAGATTTTATATTTAAGATCATTTGGACTTGGTAATGGATAGTTTTCTTCACATGGATGTGTTTTGAGTGGTTCAGTTATAAGATGTTCACCGAATATATCAACAAAATATTGAGCCATTTTAGCTTGAGCTTTAGGACTATACAAGTAAAAAGAAAAAACAAACGACATGCATATTATTTTCGTCTTCAAAAATATTTATTTATTTTATTTACCCGCATAAATTCTCGATTGAAAGTATTAATGGATATGAAGTCACTTTAAAAGCGTACTCTTTAATAGCAACAATAACTTCAATAAAAAGTACCGGTCTCACAGGTGTATTTTTATGTTTTATTTCAGGTTCATCATTTTTTCTTTCTGAATCGACTACATCCAATTCAATGCATCTACATCCAGTTAATAATACTTGTCGATACATTTCAACGCTTGAACGTCCAGTCAATTGAGACCCTAAAAGAAGAATTGATTTTCTATAAAAAGTACTATTATCCATTTCAAAGAAAATCCGTGGTTTTTCTTTGCATAACTTCTGATAACAACGACGAAAAGAAATGAGATTTTCGCCATTCAGGAAAGAACATTCAGGACCATCGAAATAAGTCAACTGATGATTAGTCAGCAATTAACAAATCAGGTGAGTTTCTAATTCAAGTAATGAAATCGTTTTCCATTAGATTTTGATGTGTGATATGACCAAACGGTAGAGAAAAGTATTTTCTTTCGATCAATGCAAACCCTAACCTCTTAGTCGCTTCTGTTCACAAGTTACCAGAGTTTTCTTGAAGTTTGCCATTCCGGCAAATTGAACTATGAAGACTCGCAAAAAGCTGGAGCCAGTGATAATTCATCACGCTGAGTCGAATTGTAACGTTCTTTTTGAGTTTCAAAGCGACTTGATGCCACTATTTGAACATCTTCAAAGCTTCAATTTTTGTGTTGCATATGGAAAATTTTTGAAATTTCAAAAATTCTGGAATAGTTATCTGACGTCCCTTTGAAACTGAAGACAAACATCATCATTCGACTTAGCATGATGAACTATATTTCTTTGAAGCCACTCATGATCAATTCGCTGAAATCGAAGGATCTGATGAAAACCTTCTAACTTTTGAACAGAAGCGGCTATGAGATTCGAGTTTACATGTAGATCGAAAAAGAAGACTTTTCTCTACCGGTTGGCTATATGGCATATTAGAATCTTGTGTTTTTAAAATGTTTCCTAAGAATTTACCTGATTGCTTAATTGCTGACCAATTACATTTCGACTTACTTCAATGGTTTCAGGCGTTCTCTCTCTAATAGTAAAAACCGCAGCTCTCTTCGTCGTTCTTATCAAACGCTATTCAATAAGCAACTACCGACATTTATTTTTGAAGTGAATTATATTAAATGGATAAAAGACAGTCAACAAACCTGCTAGATATGTATTGTGAGATGATGAAATAAAATAATGTGCTAAAGGTTTATTCATATCCATACATAGATCTAACTTTTTTGGATCAATAATTAAATTATCAAAACTAAGTAAATATCGAAGAAATAATTCATTAGACATTCCTTTGAAATTTTTTAAAACAAACAAATAATTGAGTATGTAAAATTGAATAAATTATGAATACCTTTTTCTTTGAAATGTTCATCCTGTTCTGTATATTTGCTAATTAGATCTTTCGCTTTTTGTTCATAATGATCCGTATGAAAAGTATCATTAAGTGGAGCATTTTGGTTTTTAATAAATACTTTCAGATATTCCCAGCTAAGATATCGTCGATGTTTTCCACCCCTATTATAAAATAAGATTTGAATTCTATATTACACAAACATATGACTCATTCTGATGTATTTCTTATTATTATTTATTTAGAGATCACATGTACTTATGTCGGATTTAGATCCAAGAAATCTTTCAATGATGTAACCTCCGTTTCCTGCCATGTCACATGTTAGAAGACTCATTAAAAGTTTGCACATCTATATATATAATGTTCAGTGTGTGTTTCTCTGTGCCGGGTCAAAGGTTAAAGGTCAAAGGTCAAAGTTGAAAGGTTAAGAATTCTAGAATTTTCTAGAATGTTCGAAAATGTTGTGTACTTCTATAAGTTTCCAGAATGTTCTAGAACTTTCTGGAACATTCGCGAAGGGTTCTA